TATGTTTTATAGTCTCTGTTATTTAGTTATTCATGTATGAGAAGGTTTGAAACCTTAATTATAAGTGTATTTTGCGAAGGAATGTTGAATATGTAAAATTTGGGGTGTATAAGTTAGGAATGTGAAGATAGGATAATGATCTCCCTTGGTATGTGGTCTCCACTGTTATGTGGAGTGTTGGTAAGATTGTTTGTATTTTTTTAAAAGGTCTTGGTGATTGTAGAAGTAAATGGTATTATTGTTTCTAATCCTTTTGTAAAGCTGTTGGTCATGTCAATGTAGAACTAAATTATTTGCGTAATTGAAGTATATTGATTCCATTGGGTTGTGTAAATATGGATGAGTAATTGGTTGTTTTAATATGGCAGGATAGGATAATGACTAAGAAGAAATCTTCAAATGCTGGTGGAAGTGGTGGTAGCAGAAAGGATAGGGTGAGTTGTTTTTTGTGTATTGAGTTTGGTTGTTTGTTTACGGTTTATGTGTAATTAATTTCTTTCAATACTGTAGCTTTTATAGGATAATTCAATAATGGTGAATGATGGGGGTAGAAACAAAGGTGTTAAAAAAGGCAAGAAGAAGGTAAAGGTGACCATGAGTTTGGGGAAGAGGAATTGGAGGATTCCAGTAATGGGAATGGGTCTGAAGACGATGTATCTGAATATGAGGATGAGGGGTCTGATTCATCAGATGGTGAGGAGAGGGGCCTGACAGTGAGGAAGAAGATGATAGTACTCCTGTTTCTGGTCAATAGGTGGGGTGGGAGGAACTATGTATGAAGTTGCTGCAGGAACGGATTCAAACTAGAAAGAGGAAGGGAGGCAAAGCAGAAAACAAAAAGGCTAAAAAGGCAAAGGTAATGGTTGTGAATATTGTTTCATGTATGTATAGTGTGTAGTTATTGTGAAGTTGATGAAATTCATGGTAAAATCCTTGTTATTTTCAAAAGAGCCAAGGGCAAAAGGTGAAGGAGGAAGGGCTTGTTGTTAAAACCCAGTTGAGAAGGACTCAGAAGGTAATGTATCTAATCTTTGTGGTAATTTGTGTTGACTCATTTATGGGTGTTAAAAATACTTGGAGAATGAATCATGCAGCTGAGGTTGTTGGAATGTACCATTAATATCTTAATGGTACATTTTGATTGACATTTTGTTAGAAATGACACTAAGTAAGAATCATGTGAAAAGAAATGTAATGTACCACCAATGTTAAAGGGATAGTGTATTTAGCACATGTAGTGATATGATTAGGTGATGCATATGAGGTATGAGGACAAGCTTAGATATGTTGCTTGAATTAGGTTGAGTTGTTATGTATTCGAGGTTGTTGGAGTGTACCATTAATATGTTAGTGGTACTTTTTGATTAACATTTTGCTGGAAATGATACTAAGTAATAATCATGTGAAAAGAAATGTAATGTACCACCAATATTAAAGTGATTGTGTATTTAGCACATGTAGTGATATGATTAGGTAATGCATATGAGGTATGAGGACAAGCTTAGAACTCTTGCTTGAATTAGGTTGAGTTATTTATGTACTTGAGGTTGTTGGAATGTACCATTAATATGTTAGTGGTACTTTTTGATTAACATTTAGCTAGAAATGATACTAAGTAATAATCATGTGAAAAGAAATGTAATGTACCACCAATATTAAAGTGATAGTGTATTTAGCACATGTAGTGATATGATTAGGTAATGCATATGACAAGCTTAAATATGTTGCTGGAATTAGTTTGAGTTGTTTATGAATTTGTTTTGTCTTGTGTAGGCTCCTAATCTGAATGGTGTGAAGGCATTTGGAAGTTTGGTTAAGAAGTTTGATAAGACGAGGAAGGAGTTGGTGAATGAAATGGGGTTTGGTGGGCTTTTAAGAATACCACTGGAATATTTACCTCGTAAATTTTCTTACTGGCTGTTGACAAGGGTTAATGGATATGGTTCCATTATATTTGGAGATCGGTATGTATTTCCTCTGAGTCCTACTCAGGTGGAGTGGGTGCTTGGTATACCCAAGGGTTCGAAGGCAGTTCCCTCTATGATTCTGGAGGATAATGTTGTGTTGAAAGCTGAATCGAAGCGAATTTCTAGAATGTTTTTAAAGACGGGGGAGAGCATTTATGTGGCAGCAGCTGCGGCTGCGGCTGCGATGGTTCGTGCTGATAAAAAAGGGAAGTTATTGCCTATTAAAACAGACAAGGAGAAGTCTGAGTTTAAGATTGCATTTTTGGTTGCTGCTCCAGGGTACATATTGTGTACCACCATAAACACCACTAATCTGGCTGTTGCTCTGGGACCTGCTCTTACTGTTTATAATGATGCTGCGAACTACGACTGGTGCACTTTGACTCATTCTTGGATGTGCACAACAACTAAGAAGTTTCAGAAGAAATTTTCTGAAAAAGGCTATGTTGCAGGCTCTGGAGGTTGCATTTTGTTTGTGTTGGTAAGCAATGTAGCTTATAAAATTTCGTTGAAAAATGCTTTTGTTTGTTACTAGTGGAGGGGTTGTTTGTTATTAGATGTTGACATCATCTTCAATGAGTAATGTTGTATATCTTTTATCTTGATCATCTGAATCGAGTACCTACGTCTTGGGGAGTGACTTCGAGGTTGGCGGCGTGGACGTAGGAAGAAATCAATAAAGTTGTTGCAGATGACAAAATAGAGTCAGGGGACTTTGGTCGGTTGCGGGTGAGTGTTAAAATCATTGTTTAGTTATAGGACAATATTGTTTTTTGTGTAGTTTTGTTCTTCTGATTAAGTTTGTTTGTTGTGCAGTCCTTGAATATTGCATATGGTGAGGACCATCCATTGGCACCCCGTGACGGCCCGGTGAATGCTCCTACATCTGATGTTGATGTGGATGGGATTACAGAGCAGGTCTGTATTTTATCTCCTTATTTAAAATGGGAGATCTTATTGTTGTAATTGCTACAATGAATTAGTTTTGAGAGTTGTGCAACTTTTACTCATGTAGCTTGATGAATTTAACATGCCTTACCTGAATACAAAATATAGGTAATTTTGTAAATCCCTACATTGTACATTTTGGGAGGTTTAGTGAGAAATAGTTGGGTTTCATACAATTCACGCTTGCATTGTATCTTTGATTCATTGTTTATGAATACTAGTTCATAGTGCAAAGTTTGGTTTTTTTCTTGGCTCTTGATCCGGTTTCCCCCAATAAGCTTGTATTTGCTTGTTGGTTGATTGATTGTTGGTCTTGCTTTGTTAATTGTTAATATATATATAGGTGGCAATCTCAAACTAGTTACATATCTTTTCTTTTTAAGAAAGAGGGGGCATGAGGTAGAAGTTTATTCCTATTCTATTAAAAAAGGTAGTTTTGTTGGGGTCGTGTTGATTTGTGAGGTGCCTTGTTATGTTTACTTACTTCATTGTGGAATGTTCGGTAATTATGCTGTATTTGAGAGTTATGTATTTTTGTATGTATGCAGGTGGTTTCTAAGGTGGTGGAGAAGTTGACTATGCAGTTCATGTCTATAATTGATGAGAAATTGAGGTCTGTACTATATAACATGAATGAAATGCTAAAAAAGACTATTGCCGCTTCAGAGAGACCAAAGTTGGGGATTGCAACCTGTCAACAAGTGGAAGAGTTAGGACATACAGCTGACAGGCAGTGTGAAGAAAAGGGTGGTAGTTTTGCGATGAAAAGGGCTGCTAAAAAGTCTTTGCCGAAGGAAAGAAACTCAGAGTTGATTTCAACAATTGTGGAGGTGGAGAAAACCGATGAGAATACAAACGGTTTGGTGGAGAGCTTTGCAGATAGAATGATTGATGATGCAGCTAGGAATGGTGAGAATGATGCAGCTGATGGGGGTGAGAAAACCGCAGATGGTGAGGGTGAGAAGGATGCAGCTGCTAAGGGTGAGGATGATGCAGCACCGGTCGGTGTTGAAGGTGAGGATAAAGATAAGGGTTTTGGAGGTGTTCATGATTTACATGGTGTTTAGAATTCAGGAAATCATGTTTCTGCAATGGATGAGGGCGGTGATGGGAATGATTTTCAAAGTGCGGGTTCTGAACCTGAAGATGAAGAGGAGGATGATGATGTTCCCCCAAAAGGGGAGGTTGTTTTGGAAGTGGTCGGATCAAGGAGGACGACTGTTTTGGTGGATGCCGGTTATAGTAAGACAAACTCTAATGATGAAGAGGAGTCCACAGGCAATGACAACCCAGGAACTGCTGATAAGAGGGTTGTAAAACCTACTGCGGCAGCAGTAGCCTCGATGTGTAGCAAAGGGTCTGACACCCGTAGGCACACGAAGCTGGAGACACGGATGCTGCAGTACGTGCGGCGTTGGAAGGAGTTAAAAGACCCTAATTGGTATGTGTTGCTGATCTTTCTATGATGATGTGTTCTATTTTGTCCTGTATCATTACTTCAATGATTTTTTAAGAATTTAAGTTTCTGTATATTTCTGTGTTCTTTGCTGTTCTCACTCAGTGTTATTGCTATCGTACCCACAATTTCTGGTACTATGTGTGTATTGCAGCCCTAGTGTTGTGCTCATATCATGTAATGACATGACTGCCGACCAGAGGGATTGCTTTGGTGTAGTTCACCCTAGAGTGATGGTCGGGGATGGCTATGTCCGGATGGCTAGTGTGATGTACACACAACATTGGGTAACCAGAGAGTTTCCGAGCCAGAGCAAGCGTATCTTGCTTAATCCATGCTTCTCAATGCGTACAATTTTTTATGTTGTTAGAAATTTGGTTGTGTAATGGTTTCGAACTTGTCAAATGCATTTCTGAGTTGAGTATGTGTGTTGCAGGACCGGTTACTGTTGAAAGAGGGCAATGAAGAGCACGTAGCACATAAGTATGGGAAATTGTTTTTAAGCTATAATTTTCATGAGATTAAAACAGTAAGGGTAAACTTACAAGTCCACATAAGCTATGAAATTGAAGTACTTAAAGTTCATGTATTAACCCTTGTGTGAAATGATTATGCAGGTTTTCATCCCAGTACTCAAAGTCCCGCCTGAATCTCCTGGTGACTCACATTGGTGGTGCTTAGCCCTTGATTTGGAAGCGAGGAAACTGTGGATGATTGATTCCCTCTACCCCGAACCCTACAGCAAACATGTTGAGGAGGTTGATATTCTGGTACGTATCCCCTTGTTTAAATTTTCCTTTCTGGTATGTATGGCCAAGGTTAAATTTTTGTTTATGGTATGTCTAAATAACTTTCTTCATATAATCTATGAACAATTTCCTATCTGGACCCAACTACATGGCATTGATGTGCTCTTCAACCTTAGTCACCCCGAGTGGAAAACGGGAGAACTAAATGGATGGAAAAGATGCACAGTTCAGGTTTTCGGCCCTTCAGATACGTGAGTTTTGTTTTGATGTTCGATTTGAATATGTGTGTTGTTGTAATATCTGGATTTCCAAGGAGCATTTTCAGCTCACGCATCCCATGCTTAATATTTAGGGCTTACTGCGGTGTTTATATGTTGGCTTGCATAAAGTTTTGTGCTAGAAGGTTCACAACTAAGTTCACTGTGGTGAGTATTCGGGATGCTCCCCTTTTTTTAATGAGAATTTTTATGTAAATATGGTTGTTATTGAAGTGGCCTTCACTTGACCATCTACAATGTTGTTTGTATGGAAAGATTCTCAATGCTAAACAAAACTTATTTCTGGATGACTTGCAATGCGAGAGTAATGAGTTGGTTGACAACCTAGAAGCACTCATCCCCTCAGTCAGGAAGACATAGCGGAAGCAGTAGGTGGTCTCGTGGATAGTATGATGTAGGCTTCGGATTTTTTGATGGTTTTAATATCTGCTTCTCTGTAGGTAGACATGGTTTTTTGAACAGTTGTTTATTTTGGGGTAAAATTATTAACTGTTGAATTTAGAGGCCTTGGAACAAAATCACATTTTGTGCTATTTGGCCATGCTGCTAGTTAAACTATTGCTCTGTTTAAAATCAAACTTATTCAGTGGTACATTTTTGGGGTGTTGTTTGTACCATTGATTGTATGATGGCACATTATAATATTATTGTATGTATTTATAACAGTGGTACATTATTTTGGTATGTAAATCCTATCCAAGGATGGGATTGTACCACTGATTAGGGTCTTTATGATCTTTCACTCATCTTTTACTTTATGATCTTTTACTGATCTTTCATTTGAATTAGATTACCATTTTATATTACACTAATGTAGAGTACTCCACTAATGTAACACAAATACATAGAAATAGAAGGATAATACTCGTACTTTGTAAATGAATGAATTACAAGTACTAATAACACAAGTACTTTGTAATAAAACGATTGTTCCACACATTAAAGCTTAGGTTGCAAAATAGTCGTAACAAAGGAAATATATGAAAAGTAGTAATTAAAGTACAACCCAACTAAAATAGTCTTAACAAGGAATTAATTAGAAGAACCGAGGTAGTACCCCCATACGAAGCCTTTTTCCTTCCTTCATGAGCAACGTCAAAGGTCCTTACCATGCCCCAAGTGGTGGTTCAACCCATCAAAAGCCAAGCCTGAGCTGAAGTAGAAGCTATGTATGTTAGGCTCCTCGTCTGAGCTGCATGGGTCGTTGTTCAGTTCATGTTGCTCAGGGGGTGGGATTGCAGTCCATCCTAGAGGTGGCCTTGCCTTCAATATGGAATTTTTTTTTATCAACAACACGTAAACACAGTGAACTTATTTCGATGACGTCGAAGCAAAGACATACTTGAAAAACAGCATCCAAAACCGTTCCATTTGGCACAATTGACCTGTACAAGAAATTCCTCGTGAGAAGATTTGGGTTCCAAAACATCAAAACTCCTCCGGGGTTTTTTCTGTCCGGACCACATGTCTCCACTCCATATTGACCTAGGAGATCACGCAAAAGCCAATTCTTTACGTAGTGGCTACCAATACGAGCTTCCAATATGATAATCAACACGGGGTTAAAATGCTGATGCAGAGTTGTGAAGTGACGAACAAATGACGGCCTTGTGCATCCTCTGGTATTCCAACACACAGTCAACGACCCTACATCAATGATACTCTCGTGGTCACGGGTTGAGACCAGATTTTCCCCTATGTAACTCACACGGTGGTAGCGTTTACGGATGGGCAGAAATTGGTCGACCTTCGGCTTGATCGTGCAACCCTCTACTTGGAGCCTCATGTGGGTATTTTCCGTGTCGACCCTCATTACATGGAGCGTATTCGTGTAGGACCCAACAAATATGTGCCGCCAATTCATAGGGAAGGCATAGATTGGTACCTCGTAGATGTTGAGAATGGGTTGCCGTCATTTGTTCGTCTTCGAGAACCATGAAATTGGTTGGGGAGCACATTGATTATAGAAGACGTGCTCTCAAGTTTCTAATAGGATGGTATAAATCACTCAAAAAGTGGTCTTTAGTCTTGAAATACTTCACTACATTTAAGTTAATTTCGTTGTATTCCCTTTCTAATTTCTGAAAGTACATGATGGGCTGTTCTGGGTAGGGTACTATAATACCCTGTATTTTTATACGAATTTTAACTTAAATAAGTATTTCTTAAAGTATTTAAATAATTCGAAATGAATTATTTATGGTGTTTCATTAATTTAAAAAGAATTATTTTAATTAAAAGTTTATTTTTAATAATTTAATAATCTTGAAAATATTTTATTTCATGATTTGGAAACTTTGGGGCATATTATTTTATAAAAAGAAATTTTAAAGTCAAAGAGTTATTAAGGAAAGTTAAAATACTAGTTTGAATAGGAAAAGGATCATTAAGGGTAGTAAAGGAATTTTAAGTAGGAGGGTTATTGAGAGAGGGTATAAATACCCATCATGTGCTCAAGGTGGTGAATACCCAAAGGTAACTCTCTTTCTTTCTCCTCTTATTTTCTCTTAATTTTTCCCCTTCCCTTTTATTTTAATTTTAATTTTGTTTCACCACCACCCACACACCACCGCCGGCCACCACAGCAACTACCACCGGCCGGTCACTGCAGCCACCAGCGAGCATGACAGCAGCCGCGCCGACACCGGCGGGCATGACAACAGCCCAGCCGTGTGTCGTGGCTGTTGGTGGCCGAACAAAAAAAAAATTCTTTTGTTTTAATCCTAATCTAGCCTTGATCTAATTATTGTTTTTGAGTTTTGTGATGATTTTTATGATGTTTGATAATAAGTATTTTGTATATAAATTTTCAGATTTGGTTTTGAATTAAAATGCCCCAAATTATAAACCCTAGGTATCTAAGTTTATGTATATTGATGGAAATTATTTATGGGTGATTTAAATTATTGAAATAAGTGTTTTAAAACACAATTACAGCAATTTTAGATGATTTAATAAAGCTGGAATTTTTATATATAAGCTATAATTATGTTTCTTGAAAGGATTTTTAATTACCCATTAATTGGGAATAAAAGTAAGGGTTTTAAATTAAATTTCAGCTTGTTTTAGAGGGTTTATGAGTGATTTAAAGAGTGTATATATTGCTGGAAATTTGTGTGGAATAGGTATTAATGCCTCTTTGTAATTTTGGTTTGTAGGAGGCTTCCAAGTGAGTGATTTTATTTAGTCGTGGCGATTTTGAGATCATATTCAAGGTACGTTCGCGTACTTGGTAATTATTTGAATATGTAGAAGCATGCTAGGCTTTGTTAAATTAATTCCAAGTAGTATCATGATAGGTGTTGGTTGGAATTTGTTGATTGGATTGATGTTGGTAAATGATTTGTGATGTATGAATTATTTATGATGAATTGGTGATTGGAATTAATTATGTTGGCATGTTGATTATGAACCACACTTTTAGTTTTGGCATGATGGAGAGCATGTTTAATTTGGTTTGGAATATGAAAAGGAAATTTTATTATGGTTCATATAATTTTTATTGATGCTATAAGCATGAAGAAGGAGCTATTTAAGTGTCTTAGTACATAGGAATAAATTATATTGCGGTGCCTATGTGCACTTAAGGTGTTTCTAACACTTAGGGGATAGGATTTGCGGCGCATTATGCGTTTAAGGTGTCTTTGACACCGAGGTAGATTAAAAAGGGTTCAACATTTAATTAAATGTGGTCATTAATTATTCAAGAATTAAATTGGTATGGTTAATTGCTTGAATGATTTATGATGGTTGATTGTGTTATGATTTGAGAGTCATCACCAAGTATAGTAATATGTAAACAATGTAAAGTTAAAGAGATTACGTACCAAAACTCTTGGAACGTATATACCTTGAGTATGAACATATGGGGGGAGTTATGCGACTTTATATTTGACCATAACTTCTACTGGGAGTACAGGACGCTGTATTTTCCTTTTTATTTATTTTATGCGCAGGACTTCCAGTCACTTCATGTGACATTTGCCTGCCCGATTAGCTCCCGGTGTAGTTTACCTTAATTTATTTGGGGCAGGGATTTGGTTGGAAACCCGTTCGATGCGTAATCAAATTAAATGGACATTTGTATTTGTCTAGTTAAGTGTTGAGTGTCTTGTATGCTTGTTTACAGGTATAACAAGGTAAGTTGTGTGATGATAGGATGAAAGCATGTTAGTGTGTTTTATTACGCTTATGTACTCAGCATTGCTAACTGTGTGTTGTATGTTTGTTTGACCTTGTCTTTACCTTGGCCCTACGACGACCCATTTCTAATGGCGAGTAGTGGGGATAAGTAGAGAGAAGTTTTTCAGGTGATGAAGCATTTTCATGATGGGCATGAGTGAAGAGCGAATCATGCTTAGTTTCCATAGGAATATGATGTGTTTTATTTGCTTTGAATATTATTTATTTTATTATGCTCATGAGACTAAAATAAAGGTTTTCGGTATTGTTTGGTTTTAAGGGCCTACAATGGTTCCAAGTTGTAGGTTGTCTTTGTTTGATTTTGTTTGACTTTACTTTCGTTTGGTTTGACTTTTGAGTTGACTTGTTTTGAATTGTTTTAAAGAAAGTCTTCTGCTGTGTGTCTTTGATATTTGCCTTAGCCGTTTTCACGGTGGCGGTAATGTCTTAGATTTTCCTATTTCGTATTTTAATAAGGGTAGAACAGGTATTTTAAAGGGAAGGAATTTCTAGGGTGTTACAGGTACGACCTCCACAAATGAGATGGGTAGTTGATATGTTGCCATTGTAGTGAACGACTAATGGGAGGGAAGGATGGAGGAGGAAAGGGAGTTTAGAGGGAGGGAGAGTTACAAGAGTTTAGGGGAGGGAAAACTTAAATTTTGGGAGCCAGGGTTTTTTTTGGGAGCCAGGGTTTTTTTTTTACCATGTTACCGTTGTAAGAAACTTACTCTTTAACACTAGTTGTACTAGAACACGCTATAGGTGCAACACTAGGCCACCGAGATGTTGTGTCAAAAGAAGCACAAATTCTATTGAATGGGATATATTTCTACCATTACCATACCCAGTGAGGTTATTTTGTACCACTACATGAAGTTTATTAAATATACCATAGTGAATGACACTTACATTTAGATTTGACAAGAACCCATTGTAATAAAGTAAAATTGAATTATCCAACAA